GAGGAAGAGTTCGGCGTTTTCATCGGGAACTCTAGCTAAGAGTAAACCAATACCAGGATTCACCACCGACCTGGTATGAGACTAATCGCATAATGGCAAATCTTCTTCTGATCTACAAAGGCCGGCGACTTCCTGTGGTGGTGACGCCCTAGGAGAGACTTTGGCCAGACTGACCTCAGGACACCGAAGAAAACAGTGGCTAAACCAACAAAACTCCGAAAAAGTAGAAATTATGCTGGGGCTTGCACAAGCAGTTAAGACGGACCATACAAATATCGAAGTATTCAAGTAAGTTTATAAAACAAATTGTTTTGTGTGGCCTGAAAGGCCTGCGTTGGTCGATTCCTTAGGAATGCCTCAGGTTTTCGACTCCATTAAGCGTAGTTGGAACGCATATCTGGCCTATACAATAACTTGTGGTGGTAGATCGACGCTAGAAGTCGGTATTTTCATCCTTCCAGACAAGTCGGGCACCGATTTTTCTGCTCCGGAGAGAAGGACGATTTGATTTTCTTGAAAACAGCGGTTGAATCAACAACCACGTCTGTACAAAAGGCATGTCTAACCACTGCACTATATGTGCGACTCTGTAAAACATATCACAGCTACTATAATGTTGAGATATTTGCAAAACTGCGGACCGCAGGTATCTGCGGTAGGGAACGAACGCGCTATTGTCCTTTCCGGGAAGTAACGCGTTCACCACTACACCACGTGGGTCCTTCGTTTTGCCTGTCTCTCAGCTAGTTCTGTCTTGGGCTCCTTAGATCAATCCCGTTGACGGGTGATTGCCGTTGGCAAAAGATCGACAGAACTAGCTGAGAGACAGACGAAACGAAAGGCCCACATGGTGTAGTGGTGAACACGTTACTCGCCGGAAAGGAGAATAGCGCGTTCGTTCCCTACCGCAGATACCTGCGGTCCGGAGTTTCTCAAATATCTCAGCGTTATAGTAGTTATATTTCGCAAAATACTCTGCCCTTAAAAAGAATAGGCAGAAAATAAAAAGGTTAGAATTGTGATCATATCACAGCTGTTTATGATAAAGAAGACAAACACTACGTAAATGCTGGAGGGTAAGGTTCATGGTGTTGATCAAAGTCATAGTTGAGAACTGTCTCGCATTCATTTTCTATCTGTAGGTATCTCCAATGGCCAGTGGTATTTAGCTGATTAAAACTGCGTGTTACTATAACCATTTTCATTACGCATTGATCAACTATCTAGGGACGCGAATGGAGGGACTCTGGAAAATTTCCGCGTGTAACGCTTTGTGATTTTGAAATTAGGGTGAGTTCTCGCTTTCTCTCTATCCTTCCCTTGCCATCCATTCCTTTATTTCTCTCTTTCTTTCTTTCTCTAATGGAGGAATAAGCTTAGTTTCAGGTGCTAGGGAATGTTCACCGGCACACGGTGCAATGCGTTCTTGTGGTCAACATGCTCACCGAGAAAATTTTCATATTTCTATGGATCTGGTTATCCGTAAGTTTCTCGCATAAGTAAATTTTGCCTTACCAATTCGATTCATACGGCTATCATCGCTTTTTCGTAAATTCACTTTAAATAAGTACTCTTCATTACTCTGTTCATCACATATAAAGCCGTAATTCAGTGGGAACAGGTGGAAAAGTCAGCCAAAGGTATGGCACCAGGTAACGCTGTGTAATACGCGGTATAAGAAATTCCATCGATGGCAATTCATTCACTGCTATCGAATTCTATCAGCCGAGCACTTTTAAGCAGCTTCTTTTAGCAACATTTGTTACGTTTCAAACAAGGCTGAGAATAAACTGGACCTTATTCTCGCTACAATTAGTGTTTGGGATAGTAGTTTTTCTCCATACCTATCGGATGAGCCATTCTTGTGTAGCCATTCGAAGTGGCTATTTTCTGCGCCGGTTCCAGTGATTCTTCCTCCTGTTGTTTTCCTATGCACACATTGGCGCTATTCGAAAAGTTTTTCACAAGGCCTGTTTTAGTGTATGAAGAGTGAGAAGAAAGGTAAAAGGATGAAGCTCTCGGAGTTTATCAATCCCTGAGGGGTGCGCCGTGCATTCGACTTCATTAAGTATCGTTGGAGGTGATTTGAATGCATATCTGGCTTTTACAATGACTCGCGGTGGCCTACCGATGTATCGAGCCAGTGCTGCTATCTTCCCAGACAAGTCTGGTACCTTGCCTTGTTTTGCCGATCCCAGAGGGATGGAAGGCCTGATGGGCCATGGGCGCGGGGATCGATTCCACGTGTGTGTCGCAGTGGCGCCTCCAACCAATGCGCCACATGCGCCCTTAAGAGAGAAGGAGGGTAATGAACCGGAGTGTTTTTGTTACTTGCCTTTCGATATCATTAGGTAAAGAAGCCATTTTTGAACAGGTCAATGTGGTCGTTCAAAGACAAGAGCCACTCTTTATGCAATTCAAAATGTTTGTCCATCCGTTTGAACCGTTCAGCTTACACGAGGTTATTATATAGGTTCTCTTCGGCAAACGTTTCGATGTCATCGTCAGCAACAAGATGAAGATTAGGTTTATAAGCCAAGCTATTCCATCGGTAGCTTTATCTACACAACTGATTGTGGGTCGAACCTTAAGGTTGACGGTCGGTAGACGCTAGATCATCAGAAGCAAAGCTTGGTGGCAATCGCTGTCGCGTTGCCAACCGTCTAATTTGTGCGTAATATTTCGTAGACCCTTTAAAGGCTGAGTACTTTAAGCACTCCTTTATAAGGGCCAAGAACTCCCGAAACCGAAAAGCCATTCATGTTTACTGCTCTTCTGTGTTGCATAGGGAGCTCGCGGATGGGTTGCATCGCGGAGTTATTTGAAACGTTTCTATAGCTGGCGGTAACGTGGAAGGACTTCATAACATACGCAATTTTAGGACGCACGTTACGCAGACGATCCAGGAACATTTGGGTATTCGTGAGGTGGGCTGGTATGTGCTTCAGTAAATGGATGAGAATTAGGTTTATGAACCAAACTATTCTACCCTCGGTCCCGTCTACACAACTGGTGATGGGTCTAGCTTTAAAGGTCGAGAGTTCGGTAGACGCCAGATCATTAGTGGATACAAATTTATGAGTTTTGATAAATATAAGAATAAAAATGTTGATTCGATTTTAAGTTACGAAATAACTGGAGGCTTTAAACCTATCGCACTTACCACTTTGACCCGTTCGTTATTCAGTTTTCGATGTTGACCTTTGAACTCCTTGTCAGATGATGAGCGATAAACGGAAACTTCCCCAAAATGATTTTTCGTTGCCTCAACATCTAACTAACCAGGAATTACTGAAACTCCTCACTAACTGAGAGTCTAATAGTTTTTGATTTAATTGGTTTTTGAACCTAAAAACCTAAGCATTTTTGCGCTCTTTTGATGTTGGAAGTAAACTTTCTGTCACAATAGTGATTTAGGTTTTTGAGAGTTTCACTGGAAAATATGCGAAAATTGATGTCTACTTCATCGCTTGTGTGTTGTTGTCTAAAAAACGCTCTAGAAAAAGATGATGTTGGTAGTGCCTTTACTTCTTGTTGTTCTGCTTTATTTAGTCCTTCAACTCTAGCCTTGTTACAGGGTCGGCCTTGATGCTTGTGTAAACTTCAAGCGATCCTAAACAAGGTTTCTTTAGAAAAGGGTTGCGCCAGTGGGAAACTTGGGCCCAATTCTGATAGCAAGCTCGCACCGTCAGGAAGAGTCATGCCTCCTCACACGTTGACCCTTTACTTCTCTGACATGTTAACGACCCTGGTTCGAATATTATGAGTTTCGTGAACAGTGTTGAAAGCTGGTGTATGGGATTTGCTAGTAGATTTTCGAATTTTCTTTTTAAGTTCATTATTTCGGCATTCAACCAAATAGAATTGCAAATCAATATTGACCCATTCATTAGTCCCCGCTGAAGGTTCCCCTCTAAGTATTGAACACAATAGTTTCCCTTCGACTCGTTCTTCTTTCATTTGACGAACATTTAATTCTGTTCGCATAGCAGAGCGGCGTGTATTAGTCACGTTTCAATATACAGTAGTTGGTGGCTGTCCTCTGGTAGATCAGCATACGTCGTGTAGTCGTTTTCGTTCAATGAAATTCGGCACGACTCGGTGTTATTTAGCAGCGGTTGAGAAATAATATCGTTTATCTTGTTAAGATAATCTCCTGTCTTAGTGGCTGGATTTTAACAAGTCAGAAGTATTCCTATCTCTGGTTTCCTGTATATTTCGTACTGGGTCCTTCTATACAGTAACAGTTATTCATTGAAGCGATTAAAGTTGAAATGACAGTCAGCTACCAGTGAGATTACTGGTCATTGGCCTCGTTTATAACAAACCTTTTGTGATCAGTGCAAAATAAAACTTCTTCCGGTCGATGCACATTGCAAAATTTGTGTTCAAGCGGCAATCGATTGGTTACAAAAAGTATTGGAAAAAAGCATTACACGACAGAATAAACAGGCGGGAAAAGCGTCATAAGTGATGCACCTCATCACCAGTGCGTTAGAGACGTGTTTCTTCGTGGGTCCGATCATAATATAGCAAACAGTTATCAAATGTGAGAGCGACTTAATTGTTGACCATAGTTTGCACATCTTAACAGTCTACCTTCCAGTGTGAAATTTCGCACTTCTTCAGCATAATTTTCTGCTTTTGCGTCGTATACCACTTTTGTCGCTTAACTCAGAAATTTTAAATCAGCGGAAGACTAGGTTTTTCTAAATGTTCACCTCGTTTTCACTTCTTCTCCTCATTTGTTGAATTTCAACCATGTTTATATCTGTGGAAAAAAAGTTCAGGGCGGTAAAAGCGACTAACGTTGATCAATCCCTGTGGGCTGCGCCATGCAGTCGATTTCATCAAGCATCGTAGAGTTGATTGAATACATATCTGATCCGTATGACATAATTGGTTTTCTTTTATTTTTCTACTTTTTTGATTTTGATTGTTTCGAGTGCGACCGTTTCTAGGTGCTGGGTATAATAACTGTTCTAAACCTGCTGTTCTGGATGTTTGCTCTCGCATCGGCTCACTGCCGTCAGAATTTCGTTGCCAAGCATCTGGACATGGAATCGGACCAGATCGTTAGATTCACGGACCGATTTCTTCGGCCGGATGGCGTGTTTCTGTTGCAGATGATCGCCAGTCATGCTGGGAACCTCACATGCGCCAAGGTAGTTTTTCTAATGAGATCAAAAGAATGTCTGTACATGAAAGTATTGCAGGGTTAAAGCATGAATATATTTCTGTGACGGAGGAGGTGTGTATATTTTAGGGAATTTTTTACAACTTACAACAAGAGTTTGTAACACGTAACATGCGGAAGATGTATAAGGTTATTTAACGCGGCACAGTTGAAGCAGGAACATATTTTGTTCTTAGTTCTCATTCCATACTCTCATCTTAAGCGTTATCCAAAAGAGAAAGACTACCGGCGCAAAAATTGATACCCAGCACTACAGTAAGTTTTCAGGTGACAGAAGCACTGTGGCTCATGTTTCTTCGAAGAAGTGGAAAACCGATATTGGACGAAAAAGTTGAAAGTTCAGAACGAGGAGAGTGGGAAAGTGTTAGTGAATCAGATTATGCGTCTACTCTCCTTCAACTGAAAAATCCTGCGAAAAGCCTCCTCTGAATAGGACGTTTAATGAAATTAGTTGCTAACTTTTCGCTAAACTAAAAAGCACTACACTTGTTTTAAACAACGTCTGTGCTACAAAGTTTGATGGTCATTGATAGCAGAAATTAACGATTCTTAGGATTCTGACCCTCTTTGCAGCAACTTCTATGGCGCAGCATATTTAATGTTTTTGTCATTGTTTCTCACCCTAGGACTACATTGGTTCAGGGCCGTTGAAATTTTACTTTTTTTGAAGAAGTTTTGAAAACATTTGGCGCTTTCAGAATGATGAAAGTCGGAAAGAGTCAGTGCCACGTCGAGATTCTTGGCATGAATCATCACTTCCTCCTTCCATATCGCAACATCCTATTCGTTCACACTATGTCTAGTACGTTAGGTCGTACACTACAGTGCTCGCGGGTTAAAGCAAATCCTAAAGACAATAATAGTAATGCTGGTGAGCGAGTAGTATTTATTAAGCTAAATCTCTCTGTATAACATAACAGGCAGTGCTTCATAAGGAACGGACTTTCTTTTTTGCCATCTTATTGGACAGGCAGCTAAAGCATTAAAAAGTGTTAAGCGTCTTAGAAGCACTCATTGCTAAAAGATTAATTTAGCAAAACTCTTTAAACGATAGAAGTAAGTGAGCTACTAGATGTAGAAGGAATCTCGGATTCTCGTAACATAGAAAATGTGGTATACCAGTTATCTTGCAATCCATATAGTGATAAAACGTTCCTAACCGGAATTACAAAGAAGTGTCGCTGTTGTTAAAGACGAAAAAATTGAGTGTCTGATTTGTAGTAGACGATATCATAATAACCATGGTTCAATTCAATTCTCTCAAGTTCAGTTGACGACCCCATGAAATTTTTTTTAGGACTTGTGATTATAAACGATCGTGTAGTTCTTTACCTGCAAGCTGAGCGGACATTGTTAGCCGATAGGGCACAATGTGGTTGACCCTCGGAGTACACGATGATCTCGATCCGGTTTATTTATCAATAGGTTTCAATTTGCTACTAAGAGAATTACGGCTCTTTTATCTTTAGTGGCTGTTGATGAAGAACTCAAAAGGAAAGCACTGTCGATGAAAATGACATTATGCACCTAAATGATAGTAATTCTTTCATTGTACATAACGATCTGATGAATTATGTGTGTTGATGACCGATCGATCTCTTCCAACTTGAATGCCATTTTGTGTTTATGAGGCAATGATTTTCTTGTTGTTTTTCTACTTTCGTAAGATCACTTGATGTTAGCAATATGCTAATTTTTGTCACTTAAAGTCGGACCAAAAATTTTACCGGTAGACGGTTCTGTATCAAATAATGAGAGCAAATCTTTGAAATAGCGTTTCTGATGTTCGCCAGCTTCTTGGTCGTATCACTACTCTCCTTCATACGAAAATAATGGATGAGTTCATGAAAATTAATGTAAACAAAATGAGCATAGAAGCAGCAGTCTATCGAGTATATGAAGTTTGATAAACACTGATAATCGAAAGATTTTATGACAAAGCGTGCAGTCCTGCTGGTCCAGTGCAAGTCAATGGTAGTTAAAAACTTGGTCTGTAGAACGGAGAAACATGTTCTGGGAGGAGGTCATTCTCAACGAAAATGAGATGCTGGAGCGTAGTGTTGATGATGGCGTCGTGTTTGCGAAGTCTTATTGATGTCACTTATATCAGGTCACGTTTTGCTTGTATGAGGTCTTCGATGCGAGAAAATTTCACCGCGAAACAATCAACACTGCTTGTGCTGGTCACAGCAAGTCAGTCATAAGCGAAGAAGAAAACACGGATTTTAGCTTTCTCTTCCTTCTGAAACAACACCTACAAAACGTGTATTTTACAGAGCAACTGTGGCTTGAATATGATGGAATAGACATTTCACAATAGCTCCGAATGTGTTCGATGAATTTGTCGCATTTCTCATCAATATTGTGAATAACAATTTCTTTCGGAATCAATTAAAGATGTGAAGGAATGCCAATTTAGGGCACTTCCGACATTCCTCTCTTCGATTTCGCTGCATTCTTCTCGTGGAAAAACCACCTTGCGCAAAGGCGATAAGGTCATTTAGAATTTTCAGATAACCCTGTTTCTGTACGAGGTAAAATTGTCAATGTTGTAGTCTTCTTATTTATGACAGCGTTCAAAGGAACACAACAAAAATCCACGTTAAGAGCGTAGATTCTGGAATTGTTAGATACCGTAAATGGCCATTATGAAAAGTCAGGAAATCTACCTTAGTTATAATCCATAGGTCTTCAGACGAAGTTCCTTGGACAATAATCACTTGTATCACCTGTAGTCTTGTTGATCGTCGAGTGACTCGAGCCGGCGCCAGTAAATGTTCCATTCCTCCTTGTCGCGTGCAAGAGTAGCTCAGTGGGTTCTGCTCGCTCTAGGGACTCTTTGAGTATCATATCTTTCTTTTAGGCTTTCATGAAGAACTCTGACCATCGGGTCGGTGGTCTTCCTGCAGTGCGCTTAACGTTCCGAGAAATTCAGTCATTAACTGCTCTTGTCCATCGGTTATCATTCATAAGCATCACGTCTTCAGTCCACCTTATCTTAGGCTGTGTGGCGTACAGAACGGCATCTTTGATTCTTGATCGTTGATGCACATCGGAGCTTCTGATCCCTTCCCTTACCTGTGTGACACGGGATACTCCTAGCATCAACCTTTCGACCGCGCGTTCAATAACGCTAAGTGATCTATCATCTTGTTTACGCAGCAACCAGGCCCTGACGCATACATTAAGGCAGAAAGCACCGTTGAGTCGAAAAGGTGGGCACGGTGTCGGGTGTTCTTTGTTCCCCTCACTATATTTTCGATGCTCTTGAAAGTCATCCAAGACGCTCGCTTCCTTCTGCTCAGCACTGGAGCTAAACTATTCATCATATTGATTTCCCGACCTAGATAGATATAACTGGAGCATTCAAAGATATTCGTTCCGTTGAGCGTGAATGAAGCATGCGAAACCAAACCGTTAATCATCAACATCGTTTTTGTAAGATTTAGTCAAAGGACAACCTTTCCAAAAGCTTTATTAAAGTCGGTAAGCATTCATTCCGCTTGGCTAACACTTGGTGTTATAAGGACGATGCCATCAGCAAATCGAAAGTAGTGCAACTGCTGACCATCGATATTTACTCTCATGTTATCCCATTCCAATGTTAGCATGACGTTCCCGAGAGTGCCGGTGAGTAATTTTGGCGAGATGGTATCGCCTTGCCTAACACCTCTTTGACGTCGATGTTAATATAGCTGTAGAATGGTGATACCTTGGTTTCGAAGTTTTTGTACTACTCGCGAAGAATCTCTATGTTCTGAGTAGGGACTCCTCGACTATAGAGGGCTTCCATGACTGCTTCTATCTCAAATGAGTTAAAGGTCTTCTTTAAATCAATGAAAGTGAGACAGAGCGGGCACTCTCGACCTATTTCAGTGAGCTTTGTTATCGTGTGGATACGCCAATCGTACTAAATACTTTTCGAAACCTTGCTAGCTCACATGGCTGCTCTTCGTCCAGTGCACTGCCAGTCTTGTTCAGGATGCCTCGAGTGAGGAGTTCGTAGACGACAGACAGCAAGCAGATACCGCTATAACTCAAAAGACCGACATTTCATAAACAGAGGCATAAACAGTTGATATATTTACTTATATGATCTCACAGACTTACCTTCTTTAGCTGATGAGAGGATGGTATAGGTCTACGTTGTCATTTTCGTTGTTGTTAGTGTTGTTGATCGATGGCTAATGTTTCGGCGATTTCGTTTTCCTCACAGCAGTGATGTCACGAGTCGGATGAGTAGAAACATAGCGCTATAGTTGCCGATATTGTATAGGCCCCCTTCTTGAACAATAGAACGGCAAGGAAGCCATCTCCTTGAAAAGCATAGATAGAAAAATAGTAGCAACGAGTGGTTTCGATCCACCGACCTCTGAGTTATGAGCCCACCGCGCTTCCACTGCGCCACGCTTCTACAAAGGAATGTCAGAACACAAGGATTGAAACCTTAATCGCTACAAGTACAAAATGCTATACATCAGTAACCAGCGGCAGTAATGCAGCTGTCGGTTTCGCAACGAACTCAAGAAATGGAACTGCTTTAATATCATATCAAAGAAGCGATCTCCTTGATAAAGCCCAGATAAAAACATTGGCAGCGAGTGGTTTCGACAAACTGACCTCTGGGTTATGGGCGCGGCACGCTTCCACTGCGCTACGCTGCTTCAGAGAAAAGCCAGAATACCACCATTGAAATTGTAACCGCTAAAAGTACAAAATTCTATAGATCAGAAACCAGCGGCAGTAATGCACCGGTCGGTTTGGCTACGAGGTCGAAACGTGGAACTGCTTTAGCATCATGTCAATGAAGCGATCTCGTTAAAAAGCCCTGATAAAAACATTAGCACAACGTTGCTGAGATATTTGCAAAACTCTGGACCGCAGGTGTCTATGGTGGGAAACGAACGCGCTATTGTCCTTTCCGGGGAGTAACGCGTTAACCACCACACTATGCGGTTTCGATTTGCGCTCCCCAGATCAACCCCACTTACGGGTGATTGCTGTGGCAAAAAGATCGATAGAAATACTTGAGAGACCCACATGGTGTGGTGGTGAACGCGTTATTCCCCGGAAAGGACAATAGCGCGTTCGCTCCCCACAATAGATATCTGCGGTCGAAAGTTTGACAAATATCTCAGCAACGTTGTGGTTGTATTTCGCTTAGTAACCTGCCATGAAAATTATAGAAGGCAGGAAACAAAACGTTAAAAACATTAGCAGTGAGTGGTTTAGATCCACAGACTTTTGGGTTACGGGCCCAGCACGCTTCCACAGCGCCACGTTGCTTCAAAGGAATGCAAAAATACCACTATTGAAGCCGTAATCGCTATAAGCACAAAATGATTTGCATCAGAAACCAGCGGCGGCAATGCTGAGGTCGGTGTTGCTGCGAACTCAAAAATGGAACTGCTTTAGTATCGTGTCAAGGAAACCATCTTCTTTATAAGCCCTGATAAAAACATTAGCAGCGAGTGGCTTCGATCCACCGCCCTCTGCACGCTTCCACTGCACCACGCTGCTTCAAAGTGGGAATAGAATGTCACGATTGAAATCTTAATCGTTACAAGATCAAAGTGCTATCCATGATAAACCAGCGGTGGTTATGCAGAGGTCGGTATGGCTGCGAATTCAAAAAATGGAACTGCTTTAATGTGGTGTCAAGGAAACCATCTTCTTTATAAGCCCTGATAAAAACATTAGCAGCGAGTGGTTTCGATCCACCGACCTCTGGGTTATGGGCCCACCACTGTGCCACGCTGCTTCAAAGTGGGAATAGAATGTCACGATTGAAATCTTAATCGTT